GGCTTTATAAATGCATGAAGGATTCTTATGTATCCATTGGGAAACTGTTAGCTCAGGTACTGAGGGGGTGGGGTGTATTGACAGCTTCTGTCTGAGCCAGTTCAGTGTTCTTTCTCTGGGAGATTTCATCATTTCTATTTCATCATTTCTACCAAATGAAAGCCTCTTCCCCTTTCAGATTCCCTCCCACTCATGCCTTTCTCTTAACAGACCTGAATTCCTTTCTGCTGCCCACCTGCAATACCTTCGCTGCCTCACCTTTTGGACCGTGTAGACACCCTGTCACCTCCCTTTGCCCATGTGCTCACCTCTGTGACCTCTCCATCACCTATAGTCTCCTCCCTTCTTCCCCACAATGCAACTCCTTGTCTGCACCCTCTCCATATAACTTCCCCCTCTCTATTCCGTTCTATCAGTTTGAACTCCAGGTCATAGTAGAGAGCTCCTCAGTTATTATTATTGTGGTTATTTGTAGTACAGTAATGCTTAGAGTTCCAGTGCAGACTCCATTGTGCTAGATACTGAATAAACAGTCCCTGTGCCAAAGAGCTTACAGTCTAACTGGAAATGATAGGGAAATTGATATCCACACACTGATAATTTGCAAGCATCATGTGAGTTCCATGGATTTTTTTCTAGTTGTTCATATATTTATGTATAATTTTTGGATGGAGTTTTGTTTACTTTTTTATATTAAAGTTATAAAGCAAGGGTGGGAGAGAGATGAAGACGTGAAGGGATTGGCTGCAAGGAGAAACAAAGCAAAGGATATAGGGAATGGGCAGAGAATGGAGAAAAGGATGAAGGGGAGTTGAAGTGAGGCTGAAGTGAAGAGACTGAGGGGAGTAGGTGAATAGGAGCTAGAGAAAACTGCCAATCAGCAGAGGGGAAAAATCTTCAGAATAAGAACTGTAGAAAGCATAGTCTGACAACAGTGGTGTATGAGGGGATGTTTAAAATCTGCTGTAGCTGCTTCTGTTGACTTCAGTCTCTGGCTGACTCCATTCCAGAGTTAGTATACTAGACTTTAGAAAATGCATCAGGATTCCTTTCAGCCTAAACTGACCAGAAACATTCCTACTACAAGTTAGAAATGGGTGAGTGTATGTGAGAAAATGAAGCTTATGACTGAATCCTAGAGTATGTCTACACAGCCAAAACTTCAGCATGGGTAGTACAAACATGGCACGGACCCTGGCTCATACGTGGCACACTACCCTGTGCTACACTGTCATCACTGCTATTGTTAGCCTCGCTAGCTAGATTCAAGCTAGTTTGGGTAGGCAGCCCAAGCACAGCTGCAGCTATGAGACATATCCCTACTTTCAACTTTAACTGTAGAGGGGGATAATATCACCCCCTCTTACTTTTCATTTGAGTGTATTAAAAGAAAAAAATTAAATAATACAATTTAAGATAACTTTTAAAAAAATAATCCCCTGGTCAGAGTTAAGGTTGTGGAGTTGTGATGAAATATACATTGCTTTATGGTTGATAAGAATAGTGTGTGGATTTTTTTATGTAGGGAGTGTATAATTTATGGTCTTATTCATTTCCTTGCCTTAAAGTGATGTGGTTTGATAAATGATGTGATATATTGAAGATAAAGAACATGGTCATCACTGAGAAACCTTAACTAGTTTTTGAAATGAAGGTGCTTTTGTTTTGGAGTTATATTATGAATGAGGCAAGAGACAGCATTTACCACCTTTCTCTGCTGTTGAGAAATTAAACTCCTACAATTCATGAAGAAATTAGATTTCTCCCAGAAAGGTTTCACTCACTCTAGAAGAAATCCAACCCCCTACTACTAAATTATGTCAGATCACCCACCCCCATCAACACTCTTCTCCTCACTCCCTCTTTTCCCCTCCCTCTCTGTTTTACCTTCATTCCTTCACTGAGTTAAATAATAGAAGTACAGACACTGCATTTTTTAAAATTAGTGATTAGTGGCTGAACGCTTGTAGTAACAAATCACATGATATTGTGAGCCACAGTGTCTATTAAGGTATCAGAGGGGTAGCTGTGTTAGTCTGAATCTGTAAAAAGCAACAGAGGGTCCTGTGGCACCTTTGAGACTAACAGAAGTATTGGGAGCATAAGCTTTCGTGGGTAGTACTTGCATCTGAAGAAGTGAGGTTCTTACCCACGAAAGCTTATGCTCCCAATACTTCTGTTAGTCTCAAAGGTGCCACAGGACCCTCTGTTGCTTTTTAGTGTCTATTAACAATTTCACTTAGTGGGTCTCCGGAGTTAACTATTATATGTAGCTCTTTATGTTAATAAGCTGTGGATTCTTTCCTGTGGTAAGCATTGTGTGAGCACCCATTTAAGATACACAGTGCAATATTTCTGATGGCTATAGATCCAAAAAATAAAAATAAAAATTCTCCCTTCTGCCAAAGACATTATTTCACAAATGAACATTTGCGGAGAGCCACCTTATAGCCGGTATAGATAATACATTGGGAAACTATAACCTTTTGGTATTTTGAAAAATTATTTCTTGGGTGAAAATGTATTAACATGGCACCTGACCTGTACAAAGAGGCCTTAAAGATCCTGAGTAAAACTGGGAAAATACCACCAAAGATTCCTGCAAGTATTTTTGCTCAAATTCAATATGGATCTCCTTTTGTCATTTTCATCTTGTCCTCCCGAGCATTCACACTGGTCCTACTGGGATCTGCTGGATAGCCAGGATACTGTATGACACAGCTACCAATAGCTTCTCACCAGAGTCTTGGTTCCAAGGCAACTAGGACCATGAGTGCTCACACATAGTGTGAATGTGACATTAAAATATTAGATTTTCAATTCTATCCAGTCAATCTTGTTTTTTTCCTAAGACTGATGCCTGAGGCAAGGCCTGTTTGGCCCAGAAAGGAAAATGTTAATGTTCTAATTCATGTTAGCTCTTCTGAAGAGAGAACCATATGATTTACATGATCAGTAATAACTAGCCAACACAGCTTGAATTTTGTATATCTAGTGTGGAATAGTTGAAGCATGCATGATCAATCCACAGAGTAAACAAAAGCAATGCAAAAATAATCATTGAGAACATTCAAACAATGCACACATGTATTAGTAGAGATTACAATCTGCTTGCGGACGTTTCACAAGCAGAAAAGAGGCTAAATCCCCAATCTTGCAACGAGTTCACTTTCCAGTGGGCAGATTCCTATGCCACTGTGGAGCCCCATTGAGCAAGTTGTAAGGCTGGAGTCTGAATTTGAGTAAATTGCTTGTGAATTATTAGTTCAGCTCTAATCCTAGGCCATTTTCTGATTTTATTTACACTGTTAAGCCACAGTACCATACCACCGATGTCAATAGATATACCCAAGTGTTATAGCAGTGTAACTGAAAGCAGAATCTGACCTCCAGTATTAATTTTTTCTTCCAACATGTCTGGATTAGGTGACTCATCCAGATGACCTTGCTCAGACAAAACTCCAATTGAAGTTAATGGAAATTTTGTATGAGTAAGCTCTGTAGGACTGGGTTCCAAAATATACTTTGAGATGTAACTTCCCCTTGATGTGGATAGATCAATAGGTTCATGAACAAATTCAATAATCTTGGCTTTGAGATGGCCTCTTTAGTTTGTAAAGAATGTGGCAATTTATGAACAATTTTGCTGAACTGTTGCTTCAACTAAAGGAAGTGGTGCTTGTACATTGCTGCTTATAAAACTAGAGCACTTCTTCCAACAATCACAAGTAATATCATAGATGAGGAACAATCTGAAAACCTTTCAACATAAAGGCAACACTACAACAAAACGGACAAGCATTTCATCTCTAGTGTCACGGAGATGTCGGGATAGAATGTTCGCACATGGAAGCGAGCTGTAGCAACTATGTGGCTCAAGGAACCTTGTTCTTACATAATGAAATCCATTCACAGGGGCTATCACAGAAGTTGGAGTGACTCGATAAAATGCAAAAGAGATGACCAGATTGTTTCTTCGAAAGGCACAATAATGAAGCTCAGAGCCGGACAGACTCTAAAAATGAGGAAAATGTGATTATTAATTCAAAAGTTCTATTTCCAGATGTTGAAAGAACAGAGGGTTTTTTGAGATGTAATGTTACATGAAGAAGAAACACCCATTAGTTTAGGTAAAACAAGTGAAGAGAGATCAGAAAACCACTTAGGTTCTGAAAATAACAGGACATGAATTTAATGAAAATACTAAGGAAAATTGCTGAAATTCTTTGAGGTCAATTGTGGCTCTTCCATGAGCCCTGTGTTAAGGGTAGCATGTTGCTGCGCCGCTCTTGGAGCAGCTAGGGAGATTGTGATGTGGGGAGATGGTGACACAAGGAGGGAGCTCTGTTCCCAAAGGCAAGGGTGTAGTTGCACCGTTGTACACATTTAATGAGGGGGTGGAGCAAGACAAGGTTTCACCCACTTCCTGTCCCCTTCCTCCCACCTGTACTGGGAAGGGACATAGCAGCTCTGCAGAGTCTACCTCCCATCCTGTGCTGCTATCCACGATGCAGTTAGCTTTCCCAGGATTGTAAAGGGTGCCTCGTGCCCCTTTAGGTAGCCCTGGACATGATTCAGCCATATCAACAGAGCAGTTAGCAGAGGACACATGGTTGTATGAAACTGTCTATTGCAGACCCACAAAGTTCATAATACTAAAAAATAACAGATTATGACAACTGAAACTTACTGGGATTCTATTTATCTGACTATATAGGACTCAGATCTTGGAGAAATACTTCCTTTTTTAAAACAGGAAAAGGCTAAGGTCCAGATCTTCAAAGATATTTAGGCGCTTGACTTCTACTCAAAGGAAATAGAAGGTTAAATACCATTGAGAATATGAGCCAAAAGTCTTCCACTAAACTTTTTTTAAAGACTTAAGGTAAATGTATGTCCTTAAAGCAGCATAAGTGTTTAATTGTTTAAGCCTTAGTATATTCTAACTAAAGTCAAAATCCTAATTTCATTTAAACCAATTGGAGTTTTCTTGTTTTCAGTAGGATCAGGATTTGACCTCAGTGTGCCATCCCCTTCCTGCATGGTGAGAAGGAACTGGACTTGGGGTATAGGTGAGATCTTTGACAATCTGAAATGCAAACCACACTGCGCAAATTTCCTCCTGCCTAACAAATTTTACAATTCCACTGTGGGATCTGTTCAGTAGATCAGTTTGTCTGTCCTCCTCGTTCCCTTTTCTTATCTTCCTCTAGTCCAGTGGTTCTCAAACTGTGGATCGGGACTCCAAAGCGCGTCATGACCCTGTTTTAACAGGGTCGCCAGGGCTGGTATTAGACTTGCTGGGGCGCAGAGTTGAAGCCAAAGTCCGAGCCCCACTGCCAGGGCTGAAGCTATAGCCCAAGGACTTCAGCCCTGGGCAGTGGGTTCAGGCTTTGGCTTCAGTCCTGGGCGGTGGGGCTCAAGTTACAGCCCACCTGCCCAGAGCAGAAGCCCTCGAGCTTTGGCTTCACCCCTCTCCCCAGGGCAGTGGGGCTGGGGCTTGGGCTTTGGCCCTCCCACCTGGGGCGATGGGGCTCAGGCTTCGCTCCCCCTTCCTGGGGTCATGTAGTGATTTTTATTGTCTGAAGGGGGTCGCAGTGCAATGGAGTTTGAGAAACGCTGCTCTAGTCATAGGCTCAGAGAAGCTACCCTGAAAAAAAACACAAAAAAACACCCATTAAACTAGAAAGACGTGTGATCTGCATAATTGCTTTAATTGCAGCCAGTTCTGCAATGAATAGTCCTGCTGTCAAATTTAACAATGACTTGGGGGCAAAAATATCTCTGTCTTTTAATATAACATGAAAGAGATGAGGAAACTCTTCTGATCATTGCCTTTCAGTGTAAAGAACTGATGTTTAAGGGAGAGAAAAACCATGTCATTGTTGAATTCAGAAAAATTATGATTAAATTGGCAAGGATAAATAAACAAAATTAAACTGTATACTTTCCTGGCCTTCTCAGGCATGAAAACTGTAATGATATTTATGGAAGGAGTATAGTAATTCAGCACAGAACAGGGATTTTTTAATAATTGTAGTTAGTACAGTTTCAAAAATAGACTCCTCTAAATGTCCTGCTGTGTCAAGAATGCCAAAGAAATAAGAAAGTAAAACTGCTAAGACATTTATAGAGGCAGAGGCAATGTGGTCTACAGAAATGAGTGCATGGATAAGAGACCAGAGGACCTGAATGCTAACCCTGATTCTTCCACTGACTCCTTCCTTGGCCTCAAGCAAATCATCTCCTCACTCTTTCTTGACTTCCCTATTTTTAAAATGGAATAATAAAACATACTTACTTCACTGTGGTTTGATGAAGAATAGTTGACGTTTGCATGGCACTTTTACTATAGAAGGCACTATAGAAGGGCTAAGGATTATTTATAGACATCTTTCAAAATTTATTCTCCCGATCTGAATGATGATAAAAACATTCTGCGCATTTTGCACCTTAGGAAACTAAACAAGGCACCTAAATCCTGTATTTAGAATATCAAACTGCTACTTAGATGTGTCTGATGTGGTGTACTAGACTCATAGCCCTTTGCTGGAGGCCTCATGGTCCTGCCCAACTCCAGAAAAGGAGCAGTGTAGGTGAGTCCTTCAGGCTGCCTAGAATGGCTGCAGAGGAAGCAGCCAATCAGAGCCCAGCAGACTCAGATAAAAGAGGAGGCTGGACAGAACAGAGTCAGTTACTGGCTGGAGCCAAAGGCGGTGTCCTGGCTGCAGGGTTGGACAGAGTGGCTGCTGGCAGGGACAAGGGGAGCAAGGAAGGTGCTCCTGGCTGACTGCAGGAATGCAAGAAAGTCTTCATTCCTGAGATAAAGGTGAATGGGCTACAGGAAAGTGTCCCAGGGGACAGTAGAACAAAATTAAAAGGGATGCACATGTGGTTGCTATTTATAGGGTTCCTGGGTTGGGACCTGGAATAGTGGGTGGGCCTAGGTCCCCCTCCACCAGCCTCAGGCAGAGTGGCCAAAACATAGACAACTGGTGCCTCCCCATACGGGGGGGGTGGGGAAGGACAAGCTAAAGGGGAGGACACCTGATCTCTCCATGTGTCTCCTCCCTATCCAGCCTGGGGCCCCTACACTCTCAACACCCCATTATCAGTGTGCGGGGGGGAGGGGCTCTATCCTCCCGCTGCGCCAGCTTCCCCCGGCACGTTCGGCTGTTCTTCCTATCAGGCAGGTCTAGCCGGGAAGTGGAATGGAGCTGCTCTGTGCAGCATAGCCAGCTGCCTGGGAGAGAGCCTGCCCGGGAAGGGGTGGCAGCAGCAGCCCATTCCCTGCTCAGGCTCAGCTTCTGGGCACAGGGGCTGGGCATGCTGAGGGGCAGGGGGGCTCTGATTTCTCGGTCACTGTCCCTGGAAGCTGAGCCTGGGCAGGAGGCAGCCCCCCGCAGTCAGGTGCTCTCCCAGGCAGCTGCTGCACTGGGCAGTGTCCCAGCCGCCAGAAGAGGCCCTGTCCCTTCCACTATGACTCTGGTCCCGTCCTTCCCCTCCCTGCCTGGGCTGGCACCTGGGGGGGCACTTGACCTTGATGCCCCCCTGACGCATCGCCTCTGGGCCAAAGCCCTGAAGAAAGGAGATTACATAGGCCCAGGGAAGGGGCTGAAGACCCAAAAGGGGTCAGTATGTACTGAACTTTAATACCCCCTGGAAGGGGATTGAACTGAACTAGTGGTCCAACTGGAGAGCTGGGGCAGTGAGGCTTGCTACTGAGCAAAGAGTCTTCAGGGAGGAAGCCTTGAGGGCACTGCTCTATTCAAATGAGAGAGGACCCAGAAGGGGTTGAAAGACTGTTTGAACTGGGGTACAGTGATAGGCCTTGTTGGACTGATTGAGAACCTGAGCCCAGGGAGAGCTGCAGGTGAAAACATTACCAACAAGAGTACTGTGATAGGCCCAGTCAGAGTGTATACTCCAGAAGGGGTCTGTTTTGTTTCACACATACAGTCTGTGTGCGACTTAGCTGGAATGATAAGTCAATGAAAACTTACTTGAGAAGAGTTAACTGCCAACAGGGGTCACTGTAAGCAGCCCAAACCTAGAGAGTGCAGGCATGCATCCGTCCAGCAGGAGGGTGGCTGCAAGGGGTGAGCAGCATCCCACTGACAGTCTGCTTTACATATCAATGAAAGTACAGAGGTGCACATGTAGGCCACTAAGTTACTCTTTTTTGATCACTTGAGGTTTATTTGATTTGTTTCATTTTGATTTCATTTTTACCCATAATTTGTAGAGGCAGAACAGAAGTAACAGATATTTATGTCCATCTCCAGATGGAAGCATATGTCTTACGTTTGCATAATCATAAGTGTTGCCTTCCTGAGTTTTGGCCAAATCTACAACACAGTCATGTTTTTACTCACTTTGTGTATTTATTGGATTGAGATGGGTCCAAACCCAAAATCCAGTTTCAGTCACCCCAAGCTTTGAGGAAGCTGATACAGATTCAAACTTTATGGTTCTCTCTCTATTGGTTGAACCAAAACCCTCTATTCAAGCATGTCCAAAATTTAGAAGAGTCTAATTCCAGATCTAAACTTTAACTTGGTCCCATCTTTTATATTAGGGCTGGATAAACTAGTCTGGATAAAATAAACTCAAAACTTTGGCCCAAAATATGAGGGGTTCTGAATCCTTTTTAAGTTCTAAAACATTATGCTGTTTTTTGAATTTTTACTCTTCCTTGTTGTGACCATGATTAGATTGGAAGCCAAACAGCTGAAATACCGAGAGAGAGCCTGTCCTCATGCTATTTCTGGCCTGACTGGAAGCAGGAAGTAACAGAAATGTCAAAGGACAGGCTGTTCTCATGAGATTTCCTGACCAATTTTGCTGACTACACTGTCAGCTTGTCAGCATCTTCAAGGCCTCTCATTATTCTTCTCAAGCCTACATCTCTGATTTTGTCCCTTAATTATGTCCATTATCCACTACCTCAGTTCTGCCATAATGACCATCGCAATGCCCTGTCTCCTTCTCCCACATATGCATGCAATGTAATTCTCAATGGAGCTGAAAGGACACAATTTAATGTACATGATGGCTTTGGGTTTTGGTATATAGAAGTGGCAAAGATCCTTTCACCTCTAGGTCATTGGTTCAAACAGACCAAGCTGGTAGTAACTCATAGTTTTGTTTCGTGTAATGTGTGAAATGCTAGAAGTCTGTCTACTTCAGGGGTTCTCAAACTGGGGGTTGGGACCCCTCAGGGGGTCACGAGGTTATTACATCGGGGGTCGCGAGCTGTTAGCCTCCACCCCAAACCCTGCTTTGTATCCAGCATTTATAATATAATGTTAAATATATTTAAAAGTATTTTTAATTTATAAGGGGGGTCCCACTCAGAGGCTTGCTATTTGAAAGGGGTCACCAGTTCAAAAGTTTGAGAACCACTGGTCTACTTCCTGAAAACCACTGGCAGTCTCGCACAGAGGCCAAGGATTGTGTGGGACTGAAGAAGGCCTTGATTCTCCACTATATTTGAGGTCTTCCCAGTGGAGAGGGAGGCTGCAAGGAACCAACTGAAGCTCTCTGACTCAGGTCTGTCTGGTCCCAGCATAAATTGAGGACTCTATACCAGTGCAGGATCAAGCCACGGCAGTGCTGTTTTACCACACTTTCTCTTCTCCTTGTCCTGCTCATGCCCCATCTTTCCTCTTGTGGTCGGGGATGGTAGGACTGTTTCTGCTAGCTTTTTACTGGCAAAGAACTCTGGAGAATTCTCCACAGACCATTTCCAGTCTTATTGATCCAGAGTCTCTGGTCTTAATGTTTTAAAGTGGGCTAAGTGCCATCCAGACACACACAATACACAGTCTTTGCCTGGAGAGCTTATAGTCTAACATGAAGGCCACAGATCATGAAAGTGAGCAAACAAATAGTAGAGACACTTACTAAAATATGGCCAATAGTGGTGTCACAACAAACAGCCAATTCTTTTGCCTGGTCCCTATTCTTTCCCATTGAATTTAACTTCTTATAGGAACTTTTTTCTCCAGTATGTCTTTCTGGATTTGGCGGTTTAAAAAAAAAAAGGCAGAGCCAAGTAGCTGCAGCCCTAAAGTGGCCATTTTGAAACTTTGTTGCATCTCCATCTTACAGATCAGTATTAACTTGTTATGTGTAAAACTACAAATGTCCTTTAGAAATTTATAATTATGTAATTTTTGTTTTGTTTTTTTGGGGAGGCACTGGAGAGAAATGAGGTGCTAATGGACTGAAATGAGGGAGGGAAAGTGAAGCTACTCCCTTTCTGCCCCCTTTATCTCTGAACTCTAAGAGATCTGGAGTCTTCAGAGAGCTTCCCAAGACCAAGAGTTGTGGTGGTTGCTGGGGCCTGCACAGAGAGGCCCCATTAGCTCATCATGTCGGTGCTTCCTAGAGATTGTCTTTGAAGATCATCACTGATGCATGTTGGAGGGGCAGTTTTAAGTAGTTTGGCCTGTCGTTGCCTATGTTGAACTTTAGGGTTGTCAGGCTAGCATCTTTCTGAATTTGTTTGATGAAATATTAAGAAAAACTGGTCATAGTGAGACCACTAGTTCAAGGTCTCATTTTTGGTGGTAGGTAGGGCATTCAGGTAGACAAAGTGAACCTGAGACTGGAGTAGTAACATATCAGAGAAGAATTAATGTAAATCATGCACTGAATCTGCAACTCAGGACATAAAATTGGGGGGAGGGACTGGTTGGTGGGAAGGAGGTTGTGTATGATTATATGGAATAATGAATCTGTTCTGCTTTCTACACATGGGGGGCCCCCATTGGCATGAAGTTACCTTCACAATTGGTGTAGAGATGAAAACAGACTACTGTATATTGAGAGCGAATCAAGAACAGTCTGAAACAGCACAATACAATTTTGAAAATATTCTGTTTATTTACAGCAGCAATTGGAGTTTAATCATTATTTCAGTCATGTTCATTTTGGTAAATTGGGGTATTTAAAATGTAGGTCAATAAAGTAGCATCCTGTGATCCTTTCCCAAATCTCCTCTATTAAATTCAGTCTAACCTCTCAGTAGCCCTGAGAAAGGAAACAGAAGTCCACTCCAGCTTCACTTAACATGTATACTCCATGTGAATCATTTCAGAGTTCTATGCTTGCCTGGCTGTGTCAAACTGTGCATGCCAATGTTTCAGTTCTCCCCCCTTCATCAGAGTATGTTACAGAATGAATCTCAAAGTAGCATTTAAATACTGTTTTTGTAATGGATCCTCAGACGGTTTGGAGGTAGTGATTGCATTGAGCAGCAGCTATGCAGAAGGCCCAGTTAGCTTTCTTCCTCCTCTTGGTCTTTAGGGAATTCTGAAAAGAACAAGAGTCACTAGAGCCAATAAAGCCTGTAAAGCCTAATTTTCACCATTCAGGAATAGTCACATACTAGTCCTCCCCTTTGAGTGAGATGGGGCAGCGAGGCATCAGCCAATGGAGATTAACATAGGGTTTTTATAATTTGCTGCAGGTGTCAGACAGCAGCAAATTACACCTCTACCCCAATATAACGCTGTCCTCGGGAGCCAAAAAATCTTACCGCATTATAGGTGAAACCGCATTATATCGAACTTGCTCTGATCCACCGGAGTGCGCAGCCCCGCCCCCCCGGAGCACTGCTTTACCTCGTTATATCCGAATTCGTGTTATATCAGGTCGCATTATATCAGGGTAGAGGTGTAGTTGTTGGTGCATCTTGCGCCTCCATCTCCCCAGAGCACAGTAGGGATGGGAACTGCACATCTCAGAGGGTGCTATGTGCAAACCCATATACAGGGCTTGTGGCAAAGCCACAATTCAATCCTTAGTCTGTAACTAACATTCACTAATGACTCCAACTAAATGGATCTCTACATTTAACTAGTTGTGCATTAATTACATAGCAGTTGCTCTTTAGGAACATAATTAATGAGAATAAGATTCAACAATTGAGTAATACCACACACACCACCCTTTATTTGTCACATCTCATTACATATTCTAAACAATAGTATTTGATATTCTAAAACTATGTAATTATACATTTTAATTAAATTCATAGTTTAGTATACATAGAAAGCAAACTTGTAATATCCTTCTTTGCAGCAGTGTCTGTCTTTTAGCCTTGCTCTGAAAATCCTGCTTTTTAAATTTCTTCAGTGCTAAGAGGTGTGTGGTGTCAAAGCCTTTGCAATGACCATCACTTTCAATTATTGTACAATTCCTTTTCTGGATGTACATGAAGTTAACAAACAATGATGATAAATACCTTGCAGGCTTCATCAAATAGTTTCATGTTTTTCTAGCAGCAGTATTGCAAAGGAAACAAATCATTATATATTTAAACAGCTGCTTTATGTAATCCATACATTTTCAAGTTTATAAACAGAGCATAATCCCAGATAACATTCTGTAATTTGAGTCTGGTTTATAGACAGAGTAGTCCTTGATTATTAGAAGGTTTTTACAATGTTTTCAAAATAGTTTAGGAGGAATGTATAATATTAACGTTAACTTGAATCTTTCAACATTTTACAGTATGACCATAATTGCCCAAACAATAACAGGGAAATTCCAGGGTAACATGAAATCGATCTGACACTTCCTGCCTTTCTCTCCAAGGTATGGCCATCCTCTGCCATTCTCCCATTTCTCCTTCCTGTTCCTTCCTTGACATCTACTCTTGATTCCTCCCATTCCTCTCTCCTCAGTCCTCCATTATGGTCGTGGGGAACCTCAGCTTCTAAACCAATGATACTTGTTACTCTAGAGTCACTTACTTGCTCTCCCTTACCACCTGTTTTGATCTCAATCAGCATATTGACTCGTAGTCACCCTATTGGCCACTCACCTTGGTCTTCACATTGAAATGCTCTCTTCCTTACTTTTCTGAGTTCTCTTTAATCACCCCTTCCGCTCTTGCTCTTCCCGTGTTCTTACACCTTATGAACTCCTGTCTAATACTCCAACCCTGTCTAATCCCTTTCCTGTCTATTTATAACCCATCATCACTCTCCTCATCACTTAAAATCTCTGCTCCTCTAGCTCTCACCACCCTCTTTGCCCCACTAATCATAGCCCTGTCTTGTTGATCAAATTGTCCCCCTGCTCTTCTGAGAGTCTCCAGAGGATTGAAACGTTTTAAAGAGACTTTCTCCTTTCACAATTCTGTTCCTTCCCATGCTCAACAGGTCTACTTTTCTTCTCTCAGCAGCTCACATGCCCTTTATCCATGGCAATTCTTCACTACCTTTGACTCACCTCTTAATCCTACTATTTTCTGCTTATCCCCCACCTCTACTTTCTCTGCCAAAGGATGTAATATTTCTCAAAGGAAAAATCAATTGTAACTGTCAGGAACTCTCCTTCACCTTGAACTATTTCCTCCTCCACACCCTTCTTTCTCCTATCCTCTCACCTTAAGACATGCCCTCTCTATCCGATCCTTCTCTTCCTTTCTCATGCATGTCCTTATCCTCAACCTTTCCCCTCAGTTTCCTTTCCCTCTGTAAAATTTGCAGCAGAGAAGCGAAAAATAGCACAACTACTGCCTCATCCCTTCTTGCCTCTCTACTGCCCTGTCACCTTCTCTCCTTTATTTTTAAGTTTCCAGAGGTAATGGTCAGCTCCTGCTCCCTTGAGCTCCTTCCTGCCATCTTTCTTTGACCCCATGCAGTTTGAATTTCACTGTCTATGCTCTGCTGACATAGCTCTCACCAAATTCAGTAATTACCTACTCCTGGCCAAGTCTGACATTTCTGTATTCACATTCTGCTGCCTTTGACATGGCTGAGCACTCCTTCCTGCTCTGTAATCTCTTGACCCTGTACTTCATGGGCTGTATACTTTCCTGCTCTTTTTACTTTACTGGCTTCTCTATTAGCATTTTGTTCAGGAGTTCATCTGTCTCTCCCCGCTCCTCTGTAGAAGCAACATTTTACAGAAATTATTTTGGAATTTCATTAGTTTTACAAATTTTATTGATCCTATTTTTCATATCCATATACCTATGAAGCCATATTGTCTTAATAGCATGAGTCCAACTGTACCTCGCATAGAAAGACAAATGAGTCCTCATAAATTTTAGCAGCCGCTACAAATTATTGAAAATAGCTTCCTATAAATCAAAGTCACCATTTTAAGGTCTGGTATCTTAGAATCTTTCAGGCCTATAAAAGAGAGATTTTTGAAAGCTGCTTAGAGGCTTTGTATATATTAAATAGTCCTGACAGAGTTGGATTAGCTGGAAGAATGCAGGTGAAGCAGTCTAAGGTGCCTGATCTATGTACATTGACACATAATTTCACAATTTATCACAGTGGTATCACCAGCATATTTCTATATATTTTAATTTAGTAAATATTTAGTTGGCAATATCAGCTATTAACTGATCATTGGGATTTTCACCTGCTAGGTTACATTGCATTGTATATGACATACCAATACTGTCACCATTTCAGCATTGAACTTGTATTTGCTTTTACTGATGTTTAAAATAAATGCATGTATTCCCTTTCCATAGAAATGAGAACTTAAATTCTGTCAGTTTAGTTGGATGGATGACATTGATTCAACCTCTTTTCCCCCATGGTGACTGCAGAAGATATAAATTTGGAACGCCACCCCAGTAGGGTTGGTTATTGAGTTATACCCTAGTCTCATGGAAATAAGTCTTTCAGTGAAACTTCAAATCTGGTAAGTCAAAATAAATCTCTGTGGGGCATTGACAGATACCTTTCATGGGAAATGACAATCTTTTTCAGAATAATTCTGTCCTTTATATAAAAAATGGGGCCAAGAGTGTCAGCGAGACAGAGGGATGCAAATCAAATTATTTGTATGGAAAAACATTAAGTTCAAACTAGAGACCTGAACCTGTATACCTTTGCTCATGTGAGTAGCAGCATTAACTTTAATGGAGATCTTTGACTAAAGACTAATCACATGAATAAGAGTTTGCTGGAGTCAACCCTCTGGTTTGAATTTCATGTGAGCAGTCCTTACTTGGGTGACTAGTCCCATTTATACCTTACATACCTGGAATGGATTGTAGACTCTGTAGAGGAAAGGAATATATGAGAGAGACAAATTATTACAACAAAAATCACTCTAGGTTTGTGGGTTATTTTAATAGAAAATCAGAATTACCTTCAAATATCCAAGGAATTACATCAAGGTCTCCCTTAAATAAGATTTTTCAAAATAGAGAAATAGAAGATGAAAAATGAATACACAATGTGGTGAGCATCCAGGGGGTAAATGGGAACAAATGATTTTTTTTTTTATTTAAACTGGGAAAGTGAATCTCCATAGAAGGGAGACAGCACTGCGTGTCTAGTGCGGCTGCGTCAGAGCCAGAGCAAAGCAAGTTGCCTCACTCACTTGTCCTTTCCTTTTAGTTGTTAGCTCTTCTATTTTCTTCAAGGTTTGACTTCCAATTTGCATACCTCTTTGGAATTCCCACTGTTAGCTATTTGAGAAAAAACTATATACATAATCAGTGTATCAAGATATATTTCTGTTAAAACTAAGGAAGTGAAAGGGTCAGATTATTAGAACTGTTTGGGCAAAAGATGCAAATTTAGTTTTGCCTCTATTTTGTATTAATTTCCTGTGATTACACATGGAATTGCAATGGTATGCATGTAAACTAAAATTGTTTGCATTCCTATGTGTGCAAATGCATGCATGTATGCAGTTCTGTAAATGTGGCTTATTTTATTCCTTGTGGGCTTTTTAGCATAAAAGAGTAGGTATATTCTATTTGATTTTTGAAATTGCTTTCATTTCAAATTGTGATTGTTAACATATAGATTTGCAATTTGCCTAACTAATGGGTAGGAAGCAACTTGCAATCAATCTCTAGAAAAGGATTATAAGTACACCCATTTTTAGACAGACCCACAAACAGTCTGTCATACTCCTCAGCGTGGCAGAAAGTTGAGAGGTTAATATACACACATTTGTGGTTCCATCACAAAGTGCTTGTGTGGTTTGTACTGCAAAAACGTGGCTACTGAATGCAAGGACTGCAAGTGATATAAAATAAAACAATGAATAGGCAACAAAATAATAAATAGCTTTGGACAGCCAAAAAAACTGACAAGCAGCCTGAATCTTTCCAACTTTTCTATCCTCCAGCCTTAACCAAGGCTCCCTATCATCAGGACCAGGACTATCTGCAACAGGGAACAGCTCCAACCTGTAAGTGGCATAACCACTCCTGTGGGAGGGACTGAGTCTATAAATACACTGAATGCCTGCAGCCACATAAGCACAGCTGCTGATGCAGCAGAGCAGCCAGAAAGAGGTGCATTTAATTAACCAAGAGAAAGAAAAGGACCTGGGATGGAAGTGGAGAGATGGAAAATACGGAAACAAGGTGTGCGCCTTCTATACAGCTCACTCTAGGCGAGATGGGTTGGAAGGAAAGAAGTCAAGAGGAAAAACAACTCGTTTGAATTTGCAAGAACAGGTGGCTTTTCAAGCCCTCTGGCCCCCAATCCATGTGATCCTATTTATCCTCCCTCCTAAGTTGCTAGACCTCTGTTTGGGTAGGAGCTGATGGTCCACCATTGCATGTCCTTATAGTACCTGGCTGAGGTGGGGATGGTGGTGGCGGTGGGAGGATAAATCTATAGGACAAGTGAATGAGCCTGTTATTCTGTTCCTTCATCAAGGCTAGCTACTGCAGAACCCAAGGAACTGAATCCAGGAGGTACACTTGCCTGAGAAGCTAATACTTCCAGCTATCCAGTGTCTTCATAGCTGCCAGAAATTATTCTTCATCCATAGTTTACTGGTCTCTGTGGAGGTCAGAAACTACTTCCTTCAGTCAATCAAGAAAGGCCACCTAATTACTTAATCTCCAATGCCCAAAAGACACCCCCTTCTGCACCCTACAACCTCCCTCTCCCCATCAGAAATCAGAGTTTTTCATGGTATATATTCTAAAGTTGGCATTTGAGTTCTCTTTTCTAATGGGATCTTGCAGCCTGATGGCTTTTCTGGTTACAATAACAGACCAGAGACCCCACACCCAGTTTATCTTCCTGAGTGCAAGTGTCTGCATCCTGATGGGATTCTCTACATCGGACCTCTGACTGAGTCTGGTTCCTTTTACCATGGTGATTTGAATTTAATCTTCTGTAGCTCTTGGTGGAGCTGTAAGTGTCCCTTATGAGATTTGTTTTTAGTCATCTCTGGTTCTTGTTCCCTGTCTGAGGTGTTTGAGTACATGGAGTCGGTGATCAGGGATGATGGCTTCCAAGAGCACATCCTTCAATCTCTAGTTTGGCTGCAGCCAGTTCCAGCAGGGCTTGAGGACAAAGTGGATTCTTTCCTGGAATCCCAGAAAACTAGGTGTCTGGCATGATGTTGTTATAAGCCAGTAACAATGCAGTCTTTGCAGGTCTCCCAGATTGCAAATTTTTTTTATTGTGGAGGGGAGTGGTTCTTCCTTCTGGAACCTCTTTGCAGCCTGAGACAACAGTGTCACTTAATCACCTGGAACAGAGGGAGAATTCTTCCCACCTCAGATGTTGAACTGTTCTGGAGCAATGTTCTGATCTGCAGTGGGTGGGTGCATGGCACACCTGAACTGTGGGGTCCTATATGACCAGAAAAGTGGCATAGGTAAGACCAGGTCTATTTTCTCAGATAATACACCCTCCCTCAAGGGGAAGTTGCAAGGCTTAGTTTGTTGATATATGTAAAGCAATTTGATAACAGTAAATAGAGGATGCTATAGAAGTGCAAAATATCTTGTTCTTGTTACTAGGTATTAAAACTATTGAAATTGCAACCTGTATTTAACTGACAGATATATATAATTTACCGTATAATATAAACTTGTGCAGTCTATGCATTGTCATAGTCTAAAGGTGCGAAACTCCATCTGGTGATAAAATGGCTCTTTGCATGGCAAAAGGGCTGGGAGGAAACTTCAGATCCAAAACCCACTCTACTTTGGGGTGCTTGAGATCTGTTACAAGTGGGTCCTGTGGCTTGATCTCCTCTCTAGCTGGATGTGCTATGGTGTTTGGATATGAAGTGAGAATCATATATTTGGAATACAGCATGGTCTTACATGTATGAGTTATGAAAAAGCAATGTGATAAGCACAATGTTCCATGATACTGATTTATATCAGTCCATTTTCATTTTTCAGGCTTGTCTGTTCCTAGATACCATTAAAGTCAGATAAAATAATTTAATAATGTTATGCAATACTGGAAGAACTGCATATGGCTTACAGACCAGTTACGCCTACTAGACTATATAATTTCTATATAATTGAATGGATAGATGTTAGCAGAAAACTGATCAGTTACATCCCAATGTAAACATGGAGTATAAATCTGGTGTCATTATGCCTGAGCTGAGCTCAGATCCTTGGCCAGATACAAGGCCAGATAGTAGCTGCCCCTGACACAGATGCAATGTGGAAGAGTGAAAGGAACCCTCTGCTCGACGCATGGCTCACATAGGGGCCAGCTACAATGTCAGGGCCTGCTCTTTGGGGAACCCAGAGCCAGCTCCCTTGATGAGCCCCCAGGGTTGCACACCACTCCAAAGGAGGGAGAAATGGAGTAATGACCAGCTGCCTTTCTCCATTCTGCTCCCTAGAACATGCTGGTGCACAAGAACATTCAGAACGTTTGGAACTTTCAGGCAGTGGTGATGGCATCAGACTCCTTTTGTGAATGTTTTGATTTTGGACACTTTTTGTCCTTCCTGGCTCCAACCCCTTCTCACTCTTACAGATCCTCCACAGCAACTTCCTTCCATCCATATTTATCCTTTCCTCCTATTTCTCCTTCCCTCTCTCCATTTACAATATTTCCACAGCTCTTCCTCCTTTTTCTTACTCATGCTCCTCTTCATTTATCCTCTGCCCACATTTTTTAAATTTCTATTTTAGAAAAGGAAAACAAAACAAATGTTTAAAGTGGAATCCCCCTGCCCCTTTATCATGACATTTGCCCCTCCATCACCCTGACTAGCCAGCTTGTATGTTACATCCTTTCCCCTCCACCCTTAATCTGACTTCTTATTTAGACTGAAAAATCTCTTTGATGCAGGGCCTGGCTTCTCCACTGCTCCAACACATAACAGAACACAGAGCTGCTACCCCTGATTGGTACTACCAGAATACAAATAGATAATACAAATAACCATGTTAAGGGACAGTCCTGCCAGTGCAGGTCCCTGCACACTATACCACTTGGGACATATTGTGTCTCCCTATGGCATAATCCCTCCCCATAGGACAGTGCCACTCCATGCAGCCACGACCTGGTGCTAGTGCTAAAATGGAACAATTTGTCACTTCTCTCAAATCCTGCCTCTAATGGTTTTACATATTCGTTTTTGTCATCTTAGACAACCCACCCCCCCATCCCCTTCCTCTGGAATCCTTCATCCATAATGGAGCCCTGAGGAAATGATCCTCCCATTATCCAGCTTGACCCCTGCACATCACCATTTAGGCCAGTGGTTCTCAAACTTTTTTCTGGGGACCCTTTTCACATAGCAAGCCTCTGAGTGCGACCCCCCCCTTTATAAATTAAAAACACTTTTTTATATATTTAACACTATTATAAATGCTGGAGGCAAAACAGGGTTTTGGGTGGAGGCTGACAGCTCATGACCCCCATGTAATAACCTTACGACCCCCTGAGGGGTCCCGACCCCCAGTTTGAGAACCCCCGATTTAGGCTTTGTGTCTTAGGCACTGTCATTCTGGTTGTGACTACAAGGGACTGTCTTTGGAGCTCTTAACTGTTGCTCTTTATAAATCCACAGGGACAGGTGTGGAGCAAAAAAAGATTCTCTTCTGGGTGTTCTGAGGTGATCCTGTCAATTTAGTGGTGGAACACACGAACAAGGCAGGGTGGGGTTAGTCTGCAGTAATGCTTCATTTATTCTGATGATAAACCAGCTTCAGGCATTTTTCAAGGCTGACAATTCAGCACCTTTTGCAAGCATTAAATTCACTTCTTTATTAAAAAAGAAAAGAAAAGAAAAATCTTCCCAAGCAAGTAGAGTGACATTGTTTGATACAATGTGAAAAACAGAAAATATTTCCTTGTCATCCATTTGATATATTCAGCCACGGAAGAAACTAAATTGCACCAAACATAAGCAGGCCCTATATACTCATTTGCTGCAGATTCCACCTTTTGCTACAGAGCTCTGCAGCAGGATTTAAACTTTCATTTAAAAAACCTCTTAAGTTCTAGTCTTGCAAAGAAAATATCAGCTAAGTGTAAACTGATGCCGTCCTGTCCATCTGAGTAATACGAGGGGCAGTATCACCTCTTGGATAGAGAACGAGGCTGGGACTCAGGAGACTTGGGTTCAATTTCTGTGTGCCTCAGTTTCTCTATCTAAAACACGGGGCTGATGACACTATCTCCTTTGTAAAGCTCTTTGAGATCTACTAATGAAAAGCACTGTGTAAGAGTTCAGTATTACCGTTACTGAGCCTGCAGGTAGCCTGGAACAAAATCTCAAAGCTGTGAACTGCATCTTCAGTAAGGGAGCAACTTTGAAAATGAATCATGCCAATTTCTATGTCAATATTAATTTCCTTCTGGTTATTTTAACATTCAGATAATTTTTATTATAGGGGGAGCTGGTAGTGATACCTATATTCAAGTTGCCATTATAAAAGATTCTTGTGACTTTTTATTTTTATTTTTATATATATATATAAATATATATAAATACCTCCATTGTTTGTAGCAGGCCTCTGAAGTGGGTAGGAGGGAGAGACCTATGGCTAGAGAATTTCCTTTTTTGTCCCATGAAATTCCATTCAAGTTTTGCTGAGAAACTTTTGAAAATCACAATTTCCTTGCTGGCACTTGTGCTGATCAAAAAAAATTCAACTTGTCCCTGACAAATTCTATAATGCAGTTATGCAATTTCAACACACAATTCTGCAACACTGGAAATCAAAAAGATGGGTACAGTAAAATAAAATGAATGTATTGTCATATTAACTAGCAGAGGGCACACCTCCGTGATTGTATTTTTCACATTTAATTTAGAAAATCATCATTCTTTTTTAAAAAATTCCCTAAAACCACCACAGAACTTCCAGTCTGCTGGAGTGGACCATCACAGAATGTATGGGTAGAATGCTGTATAATTTTAGGTCAGTCTAGCTGAGGCATGCAGTATTTCACATAATTGTGTGCATACAACATTGTACACACATCTATGCTTTATTCAAGTCAAGTGTTCCTTATCTACATTTCTGTAATGTTGGCTATGATGCCGCTCCAGCACTCTGGCCTTTCTGCTCCTCCTCCTCCCAAGCCCCTCTTTTACTTATCAAACATTAGCAAGTGAAATAAGAATAAGCAAATGAGCTACAACTAAACGTGCCTCTGCCAGGAGTGCTACTTGCAGTTTGGTGGCAAAATACAAGTTTCCAGGTGCAATAATGGGGCTGGTGTTAATCTGTAAAGTCCTAAAGGTTCAACACCTGGATATGTGCACTGGCTTCTCTCCTCAAGTGATAATGTGACAATTGTGATCAACTGAAGCCTAGAGCTAAAGGCCCTCTGG